GAGGCGATATCTCATTGTGATTTTGATTTGCATTTCCCTGATGATTAGTGATGTTGAGCACCTTTTCATGTACTTGTTAGACATTTGTATTCTTTGGGAAAATGTCTGTTTAGGTCCTTTGTCCATTTTTATTTGGATTATTTGGAGGTTTTTTTGGTATTGAATTGTATGAGTTCCTTATATGTTTTGTATATTAACCCCTTATTATTTATATGGTTCGTAAATATTTTCTACCATTACATAGGTTGCCTTTTCATTTTGTTGACTGTTTCTTTTGCTATGCAGAAACTTTTTAGTTTGATGTAGTGCCACTCATTTTTGCTGTTGTTGCTTGTGCTTTTTGTGTCATATCCAAAAAATCATTGCCAAGATCAATGTCGAGGAATTTTTCCAATGTTTTTTTCTAGTAGTTTTATGGTTTCAGGTATTGCATTTAAGCCTTTAATTCGAGTTATTTTTTGTGAGTAGTGTAAGATAGGGGTCCAATTTCATTTCTTTGTGTTTTTTTTTGCAAGTGAATATCCAGTTTTCTCAACACCATTTGCTAAAGAGACTAATTTCTCCATTGGATATTCTTGGCTCTCTTGTCAAATACTAGTTGACTGTTTATGTGAGGGTTTATTTCTGGGCTCTTGATTTTGTTCCATTTGTCTGTATGCCTGTTTTTGCCACTACTATACTGTTTTGAATACTATAGCTCTGTAATATAGTTTGAAATCAGGAAATGTGATGCCTCCAGCTATGTTCTTCTTTCTCAAGATTGCTTTGGCTCTTTGGGGTCTTTTACAGTTCCATACAAATTTTAGGATAGTTTTTTTCTCTTTCTGTGAAAAATGCCACTGGAATTTTGATGGAGATTGCATTGAATCTATAGATGGCTTTGGGTATTGTGGACATTTTAGCAATATTAATTCTTCCAATCCATAAACATGGGATATCTTCCCATTTATTTGCATCTTCTTCAGTTTCTTTCATCACAGTCTTATAGTTTTTAGCACACAGATCTTTCACCTCCTTTGTTAAATTTATTCTTAAGTATTTTCTTGTTTTTGATGTTATGCAAGTGAGATAGTTTTCATTACTTCTTTTTCAGACAGTTTGTTGTTACCATACAGAAATACCACTGATTTTTGTACGGCTTCTTTCACTTGGCATAATGTTTTTAAGGTTCATTCATGTTGTAGCATATATCAATACTTCATTCCTTTTTATGGCCAAATAACATTCCATTATATGGATATACCACATTTTATTTATCTATTCATCAGTTGATGAATATTTGGGTTGTTTTCACCTTTTGGCTATTATCAATAATGCTGCTATAAACATTCATATGCAAGTTTCTGCATGGGCACATGTTTTCATTTCTCTTGGGTATATATCTAGGAGTGGAATTGCTGGGTCATGTGGTAACTCTATGTTTACTCATTTAAGGAACTGCCAGACTATTTTCCAAAATGGCTGCATACTATTTTACATTCCCACTAGCAGTGTATGAGTGTATCTAACTTCTTTATTCTAGCCATCCTAGTAGGTGTGAAATGGTATCTCATGTTTTTGATTTGCATTTCCCTCATGGCCAATGATATCCAGCATTGTTTCTTGTGCTTATTGGCCATTTATATAACTTCGTTGGAGAAATGTCTATTCAGATTATTTGCTCAGTTTGGGTTATTTGTCTTTTTGTTACTGAGTAGTAAGAGTTCTTTACCTATTCTAGATACAAGCCCCTTATCAGATATGTGATTTGCTAAACGTGTACAGCATTTTATTTGCATGTTTTGGTAACTCTCTACATGATCACAGTCTTCTTTTATACACATTTCCTGCATTCAAGTTAACGTCAACATGCTTTATAATTAAATCCTTCAAATTAAATGCATTGGATACACATTCAGTATCATGCCTTCCCTCATCAACATTTCTATTAGATTCACAATACTATATGCACCAACACATGGAGGTGTTGTATAGTAGTGGTTTTGCAGGGGAGAGGGAGAGCTCTAGAGGTAGAGAGCCTGGGTTCTAACACTGCCTCCACCACTTACTAGCTGTGGTACTTGGGATATTACTTCCTCACTAAGGTTTAATTTCCTCATCTGTAAAATGAGGCTAATGATAATATATACTACATAATAATGTAATAGTGATTAAACTAGGCTAATGTGGTAACAACTTGACCATAAGTTCAGACAAAAATAGTGGTAGCTATTATGTATATTATTGTTCTTATTATTGTGTTTAATCTGTTCCAAGTAATCTAAAGATTTTATGTATATCATTTAATTTAATGCTCAGAACAATTATATGAAGTTGATATTATCATAAATATTTTCCTTTTCTTAATATGCAGACACAATCTTAAAATATTATTATTATATAGCCATAAAACACCATACTCGGTAACTATTGCCTACCTAAGTATAATTACTGGATTAGAATATTTGTAAGACAAATTAAAATTTTAATTCTCAAAGTCCCGGTTTGTTTACCTAGTCTTGTGGATTCATTATTTAAATATAGTGTGACTTAAAGGAATACTTCACTTGTTTAATAAAGAATATTGACAGAGTTTGTTTTGGCTTCCTATTAAATTCTTTAGCAAACATTCACATTTTTATTTGAATAGATTTTTGTAGTCTTTCCTCAAACATGTTTTAATGATTTATATTCACTCATCACATTAATGAAAGAAATGTTGAATGGTTAATTTAAATGTTTATTTTTAAAAGTGACCAGAGGAAAAAATTTCGGGAGATGGAAATTTTGGAACAGCACATATTTAAAGAGAAAGAAGGAAAAAGCTTTGTGGTATTAAATTCCACTGTCCCTGAAAACAGTCATCAAGCCTTTTATATTTGCTCAATTTATAATTTATAGATGGCACTGGAGTGCCAATTATAAAAAAATATTTTGGAGGACTGCTGGAAGTTTGTAAAGGCAGTTTTTATTGTTAACAGATGCATTTATGTATAGGCTTTTTGGCCTCTGATAAACAGTGTATATGCTCAGATTCAACATTTATTTGAGCACTAAACATAGGTGAATGCTATCACAACACTGATACTTCATTTATTCCTAATAACAATGCATAGAGGTAGGTTTTATTATTACTCCTATTTATATAGAATAGGAAACAGAAGTTCAAAGAGGTTGCATGTCTTGACAAAAGTTCTTCAGCTTTAAATATTTAAGAAAAATCTATTTTATTGCTTTTCCACCAGGAGGTGATAAAGTGTTAATCAGTGAGGAGAGTGGGCTTTTTTTTTTTTTTTTTCCATCTTTCCAGGAATTCTTCCTTTAGGAAAGTCTCTTTCATCCCCAAATAATCTGATCATTTTCTCTCTGAAGTACTATAGCAGTAGTTCTTCAAGCATGATCCTGGATCAGCAACAGTGTAGAATTACCAGGCAACTTGTTAAAAATGCAAATATCCCAGACCTACCAAACAAGCCCTCCTGATGATTCTGATGCACACTGAAGTTTGAGAATCGTCACTCTACGGAAATTGCTCTCTAAATGGTCTCTGTCATTCTTAATTCCAAATCTACCAGTGAGCTTAGTCCTCATGAAACTTTACTCTGTGGTGGCATTTAATAGAATTCACCACTGTCTCAATCTTAAAACTGTATTGTTTTCTAGAACATGGTGTTATCTGATCACCCATTCTGATACATCCTCACTACCTCTCCTCTTTATTCCTATATGAGATTTCCTAAGGTTCCTAAATTCTCTTTTCACCTCTCTTTAAGCTTTTGATTGTTCATTTCTTCAATTCCCACAGACCCAAACATCACACATATACTGCTGACTTCCAAATACCTAGACCTCTATTCCCTAGACCTTTCCATTAGTTGAATTATTTAGTCATTATCTCAATATATATTTGATACTGTGCAGTGGTCATAGTCAAACACCGTCTGTTGGGGATACCACAGGAAAAGAGATAAACACAGCCCTTGCCCTAGGGAGCAGATAATTAAAATTTGTAAATGCCTGTAGAACATTAAAACTTGATGTTCTTTAGATTTTATCTCAACACAATCTGATTGATTAAAATCACCTTCCTCGCTAAACTTAATCTTCCTTTTGAGTCTCATCACAGTTAAAAGTGTCGTCAGTCTCACTGAAACTGTAACTGACTCCCTTTCCTTATCCCACATACATAGATACAACCAACCTTCCCCCAGCAAGTCTTTTGCTTCTTTAAAAACGTGTCTCACAAGCATCCCCCTTCCTCGTAGCCAATGTCTTGGGTCCTGTTCTGATCTATAATGTAATAGATCGTAGTATAAATTATACTGCAGTAGATTCCTACCTTTTTTTCCTATTCTTTTTCCCATTCAATTTTTCTTTCACAGAGTTGTCTGACATTATTTCCCTAAGATTAGATATTCTGTCATATCCTTGCCCTGCTTAAAAACACACAAATAACAAACAACACACTTCAATGGCTCCCAATTGCCCACAAAGACCAAACTCTTAAATAAACCATTCAAAATCCATCTAAATGTGCCTTCAACTTCCCTTTCCAACTACATGCCTCCACCTCCTTGGGCTACTTCACCAATGTGGCATCCACTGTCACTCTGCTATGGCTCTCCTGAGCTATGTCCCTATGTGGAGTGACTTTATCAACAACTTCTTCCTCGGGTAACATCTCACATCAGCACCCAGCTCCAATGTTACCTTTTCTGGGCACATTTCCCACCCCTCCTAACAACGTTGCTCCCAAACCAGACAAAAGTAATAGCTTCCTCTTTAATGCTCCTAGAATACTTTGTTGATGGCATTAATAATGCCCCACTGGATTTTAAACAACTTGAGACTGAGGATTATATTAGTTCATATGTGGATGCCTGGCATCCAGTTCAGTGCTTGGCACGTAAGTAGGTGTTTAATAAATAGAGGTGGAATTGATCTAACCCAACTTTAATACTTTTGGTTTCCATGTTGCAGCCATCTGGAAGCAGAAAATATTTAAAGGAATATAGTCCTACCTTGTAGATGCAGGCACACTGAAAGTAAGAAGTGGTAGAGCTGACTAGGAAAGCAATCTTATAAGCACAGTCCTCATAAGCAAGTAGTTGTGGTCTCCTGGATGATGGCACATATAATCATAGCCCTGTGTCGTGATGCCTGTTAATCATAAAGAGATTAAATCACATTTTGAACTGTTTAAGGATTAGGGAAATAAACTGTGTTTTGTTAAACAAATATTTTAATACAAATATCAGGATTTTAAAATTATACTTATATCATTAAGGACTGGGTTCAGCAAATAAATAAAACACCACTGAAAACTATGGGATCTAATTTCCTTGTCTCACATCCGTCTGACACTGCAGATAGGGCTGATGTGCCACACTGAGTCCACGGAGAGAGGGGCTGAGGCTCCATGTGTCCTGTTGCTGTGCTTTACAGGGCCTGCACTCCCAAAGCAGCCAAGCATAGCAGTGTTGGAGCCCCAGCAATTATGTCCACATTCCAGGGCTTTCCCTTTCAGGCTTCCCAGAAGTTGCCACACCACCTCTGCTTATATGCTACTGTCCAGAATTTAGCAAATGACCACACCTTGCTACAAGGAAGCTGAGAAATGTAGTTTTTATTCCAAGGGTCATGAGTCCAACCAAAGATTATGGGTTCTAATACTAAGGAGAAGAAGAAATGGAGGTTGCAAAACAACCAGTCTGCTTTTAACCAGTATTTTAAGCTTCTATTTTCTGAAGCATTCACCTATATTAAGTTTCACATTCTCATTCTCCAATAATGACCCATAAAGGAAGCATCACTGTATTTGAAAGATTAGTGCCCCTCCCACATCTGCATTTACAAAGTGTCAAAATAGACAACAACTTTGAGACCATGCACTCCACTGAAAGTCTGTTATCAGTTCACAAAAATAAGATCAAAAACAAAATAAACACTTAAAAACTTACAGTAATTTGATATTTCTGTGACATGCAAGCCCACGATCAGTAGTATACTCATCTCGTTGAACAGAGTGTAAACCAGTTTGGGTGTCATCTAATTCACCTGGTAAGTCACATGTGGCACAAGCTGAGTGCATGTCATGTACACCAGGACCATATGTCAATCCGAAATGGGTTGACATTCAAAAAAATAATCCTGCACAAAGAGTTTGAAACACTGGGGCCAGAACTTGGGGTTCCTGACCTCTGGCTCAGCACTGGCTGCTTTGGTCCTTTGTTGCTCTCAGATGCTGACACTGATGTCACCAGCCCACATCTCTGACCACCTGAAGGGCTCCAGAGCCATTCCCTAACCACAGCTCTAAACCAACTGTAGGTGCTTCTGAAATCTGATTAGCTTCTTTGTGTCTGAACTCCAGTGTTCATGGGACGGGCCCTGTACACATGGGTTCCAAGGGCCGTTTCACCCCCAGCATTTGCCTCCGCTCCTACCTTACCCTCAATACTATTCTGGATCCTGCTCCGAACTGAATAAACTATAGAAAACTATGAGTCTATCTCTCATCGAGCTCTGAAAATCTCCATTACCTAAATGCCACTACTGCAGTGCTCCCGCTTCCTCAACACACACACACACACACACACACACACACACAAACACACACACGGATACGGAAAGCAATTTAGATCCAACCCACTCTCATTTGAATCAGTGATCAATGGTCACCCCTTACTGGTCTGACAAAGTTTCTGAATGACCGATTCACTGAGTTATTGTTGAATTTTTTCAAAAGATTAGTTTTGGTGATTGTTCACACCAGCAGTTTTCACAAATGACTGGAGAGGGCAGCTCAGTTATCAATTTCCCATGTGATTCACATTTCAGATGCTGAAACAATTCTCCAGCACTCAGCATTTAAGATGTGGATGGATGAGCTTTCCTTTAAACACACTTTACAGCCTTTTCTATTTCTGCAGGCGTATGCTCTGGCCCTGCCTCTACTTCTGCTGGTGAAAAGGCTCTTTACAAACCTTCTCCACCCTGGTAAAAGATATATACCTGATGGTTTCCTGCAATTGGTAATTTGGCAAATTGATTGTCAAAGAATTGATCTGGAGCCATCACCAAGTGCCACATACTACCGTACTTATGTTTCCATTCACGTAGCAGATGATTTTAGCAGCTGGAAGTGAACTTTGGGGGAAAAAATGGCCTCTACCAACATTACTGTTTTTACATGTACTTATGGTGCCAAACAACATACCAAAAAAACGATCACCTCCACACCACCTCCACCCAGAAATGCTGTTTCCTGTGGGATTCTTTCCTTGTGCCGCAATGAAGAGCCACAACAGTTTGTGTGTGGATGTGGGGTTGGGAAGCTACCTGCACAGCACTTTACCATTTTAAAGCACTTTCAAATATACTGTCTCATCTGATCCACAATCAGTTAATGTGTTTGCCAGGGTCCACATTACTCTATTTCTTGGATGAGGAAACAGAGGCGCCTAAAAGTTAAAGAACTTCCCTCAAAGTCATATAGGCAGTAAGTTAAAGGATCTGCACCAGAAACAACCTCTCAACTCTTTTTCCTTCACTTGACCCTGACTCCTATTTGGGCATTTTTCTAAAAAACTTCTGCATGAAAGAATACCCGCCAAATATTTTCACCTTCATTTCCTTTAGGTATTATCATTGGTTTGCCTCTGACCATGCTTTTCCTGCCCTATTAATACAGTTAATTTATTTTTGATTTTTCACACAGTTCATTTAGCTATAAACTACTGAAGGTAAAGGCCAGGTCTTCTCCACGATCAGTATAGCTCATGACATATGTCTCCTGGCACTCAAGGGATCCCCATTTAGCTTCTCTCTTTGGCCAGAGCCTTCCTTAGGTGCTTTGAATCTGTCCAGTGAGCATTAACCAATCAAGTGGCTTCTAAAGTTCTGGCAGGACTTCTAAGACCTCCTCACACACAAGTTCAGGAATGAAAATAATAAGTCAGGCTATTTTAAACAATAAATGCAACTATTCTAAGAACAGACAGCACAAAGGTTTTTCTAGTCTCTTCGAAGACCAGAACTACAGATCAATGTGTGATGTCCATCATCTCTCTTAAAAAAGAGGAGATTTAGAGTTTTCTTCTCTTAACTATACTTCTCATCTGGAAAATCTGAGCGTACTGGTGTTGAACCAACTATCCTAAATGGTATTACAATATACTGTTCAGTGAGAAAGTAAAATGCAAGAGTGTGTTGGGAAAAGAACTTAACAAGAAGGCTGCAACCACTTTAGAAGTGTAAAACTCTGTCCAAAGGGGAGTTGGGACACTAAAACTTCCATCAAAGCACATGAAAATGACATCAGTGGTCTGTTATCCCCTCATAAACGAACCGGCCCCGGGCAAGGACGTTCAAGCACAACCCTTGTCAAACCCATAACAAAGTTTGACATCTGTTAAATCATTAAAGGTACAAATAAAATGTTAACCAAGACAGAGAAGGAAGGGAGAGTGCTGATAGCATCTATTAGGACTAAAAGTAAAAGGCCAGAAAAGACATGATTAATTCCTGGATTTTGGAATATCACTATAGCTTGTTGGCTAAACCTTCCCAAGTTCCAAGTCACTGGAAACTACTCTGGCAATAAAAACACTATGGAGATCTGTAATAGATGGATTTAGGGCTTTTAACACTGATACAGCTGTTTCCACAATAAGTGGAGATCCTTTGGCTCGTCACATCCTCATTTTCCTCCAGACACCTTGTTTCAATTCCATGGAATGTAATTCTCCCTGACCTCAAAGAGAACTTTGTCCTTGAATCAGCTCCGTAAAAGCAAAAACCAAATATTGGCCTATAGTACTCATCTTAGTTTTTATACCTGATTAAACAGTGCATTCTATTTTCTCTGTCCTTTTGAGTCTGGAGCATACTAGCCTTGGACATTACCTTATACAGAAAAGAGTGGGGTTTCCCTTCAAAACTTGTAACAGAGAAAAATCAAATTTACTTCTATTTTCCTGGGGAAAAAATACTATATTCTCCAGATTCCTTTGCAGGTACAAGGGGCTTTGGGATTGCTTTCCGGTGTGAACAGAGGTCATAAGTGTCACTTCAAAGCTGAGGTCATTAAGAATAGGTGTGCTTCCCCCATACATTCTTCTGTTTCCACGGCAAACTTGGAAGTCAAGTTCCAAATGGCATAGCTACAAGGAGTCAGCCTGGGTGCCTGAATCACCAACTGGAGGAAAGATGCCACCTGACCCACGTGGGCCTCTTAAGTAAGTGAGAAGTAAACTAGTATTGGGTTATTCCACTGTTATTCAAGGATTGTATGATATAGCAGTTAGCATTACTTTCCATGACTAATATGTAACTTCTACAATGTTGAAATTTTCTAAAATAAATAAGCCTGAAACTTATATGATAAATGCACCACAAACGGATGGGGATGAATGTGCATTCAAGTGAACTCAAGGAAACCTAACTGGCCTGAAGGGGACCAGCAACCAGCCTTCACATGTGGGTACATGGGTACTTCCTGCAGCTACAAGGAGAGGTGCACAGGAAGTACCATTCCATACCTTTGGGCCTGCCAGTCAAAGAGGGGACTTTTAGAAGGAATGGCCAGAGTGCATTAGCTCACTTTTACGGCTGTGTGCGTGAAGGCAGAGAAGGAAGAACCAGAAGAATCCACAGCAGGAAGAAAAGACAAGTGATCTGGACCATCCCAGCCCAACCCGACACAGGCAAGAAGGAAGCACTTTAGCAGGGCCTCAAACATCTAACACCCAAGCATGTATGCAGGCCCAGCGATGGGAAGCTGGGGTGACTGTGGAGATAGTATCAGTAACCAAGGCAACAGGCAAGTTTAGCAACTTGGTGGCTGCAAGCAATAGTAGCACAAGCTCTAGAAGCACCAGTTTTCCAGGGAGGAAATACAGGAGTGCTGTACCAGCTGGCCCAGGCTGAGGCTCTGGGTGGGCCACAGCATGAAGGGCTGCTTGGAGGAGCTCCAGTTAAAGGTAAGCATAGAGGACGGAGGGATGGGCTGGGCTGTAGGCTCAATGACCCAATTGATAGAGGAAGCAAGGAAATGCCTTATTGTGAGAATTTACTGTATCCTTCTCTCACAGCATTGTTCTAGAAAACAGTCTACTGGTTCTGCCTTCAGCCTTAATTCTGGAATCCATTAAAACCAGCAGAGGAATTCAGATTCATATACTTTAACAGAGTATAGCTGTCTTCTCACTCCTTCTTTCCCTTCCCCTGAGAGAGCTTCAGAGAGTGGGCAAACGTGGCCACGAAATCCATGCCACAGGAACAGGTAGGCCTCTCTAAACCCCTTCCCAGGGCCAGGTGGACCCCACTGCTGGCTGCACACCACACTGCTCGATACCCACTATGCACCTAATTAGCTGAGAAAAAATCCATCACAAAAAGCCGTCTTAAAGGCTGCTTCCCTTCTGCCATATTCTGTGCATTTGCTAAGGAGAGAAGCTGGAGATTTATTCTGGATCATTTGGCCTGTACTCCACAAACAACAAGCACAAGTGTGCTTCTTGGCATCTTAGTCTTGGGGCCACCTCAACCTGAAACAAATGATCTGCTGTTCCAAATTCAGTCAATGCACAAACACCATGACGTTTTTGACCTTGGGAGGCTTACAATCTTGTAGAACAGGTCACACATGCACATATACACCTTCATTCTTTTCTAAGATACAACTAACTTGGAAAATACAAAGACTTAGATACACTAGATTGATATTTAACCCGTTATCAACCTGCAAGCTTTAGCAGGAGAAAGGTGAGAGTTTCCAACTGCTTGGATAGTCTTAGGTGGTGGATCCAGGACAGAGAACCTGTCTCCATAAAACCTAGAGCCACTACTGGATTTTTCGCAAGTACTCAGTTTAGAAGCTCTACACAGTAAGAGGCAGGGTGAGGGAGGACGCGGGAAAGGGGAGGCTCACCTTGTATTTAGCTCCTGCCCCAAATCCTCAATACTTACGAGATTACTGACTTTCTATAGTCGCCTGCACAACTGTAGTGCTCTTTTCCCCTCCAAAAAAATACTCAAGAGATCTATCTGCCTTCTCCTGGAACTCATTCATGGAATGACTCACCTCATTATCAAGGTCATCCAGGCAGTTGCCATCCCCACTGGTGACTAGGAGTGGCGCTGCTGTATAGAACCCACCTGGGGACCTGCAGCCTCAGGGACTGACGCCCTTTTACACTTGCTGATTTAAGACAAGGTCCATCTTACCAATACCCCCTTCTCTCCCCAGAAAAATACTACAGGTAAGTAGGGAGAGTAAAGGACCTCAGGGACCTTGCTCATATAACTGTACTGACAGGTCTTCAAGTCTAAAGCCTGGCATTCTCATTTGCTCTGAGGCCCAAAGGTAGAAGTGGCATTGAATGCTGTGTAGCTGTGGAAAAGGAGAAAGGAAACTAACATTTGTGTTATGTGAAGGAAAATAAAAACAGCAACAGCCTCACACCAAGAGTTTCTTAGTGTCAGGATGTAGAAAACTATCTCCTATAAGCCAATGGGATAAACTGTCTCCACTTTATAAAGAAAACTGGGTCTCAGAGAGAGACATTAAATGCCTTGCCAAGGGTTACAGCAGAACCCTAAGTGCAAAAGCCAGTACTGAATTCAGCTGTCTCTGATTCCAAAGTTCCTCCAGATGCTAAACTGCCTCTATGCAGAGAAGCAGCTTTTAGCCTAACTGTAACAAAGTAAAAACAACCCAAGAAGAGTATCTGAATGTGTTGGAACTTGGGAGGCAGGGAGGGGAAGGGCAGTTGATCTCCCAAATGGAACAGCTGCTGCTGCTAGCATCGTTACTATCATCATCATTATCATTTTAGGGAACTATTGCTTACTATAAGGAACTGATTAGATTTCTCCCTGTGCACTATAAGGATCTTGTTTTGCTCTTTACTCTTGCTGCTAGGAAGCTTGGAGACAAATCCAAAGTTCCTGTTTAATAACTGTGTAGTACTCCACATGCATATCAGAGTTATTGTCTTCTTATCTTGATTCTGGATTGTGATTGCTATTTTACTTGGTTCTAACCTTTACTTGCCATTTATATATTTACTCATTATATATATTCTCATGAGACTCCTCAAAACTTTAGTGGAATAACATTTAGTAGGCATGACATTAATTTAAAAAATAATTTACCTGGGTACAGCTTTCATCTGTAGCATCACACACATTCTTTAGTGCTTTGAATTATATTGCTAAAATATCTGAAAAAAAAAATCAAGATACCATCTGGTGCCTTTGGAAAGACAGTGGTAATCAGGTCTTTGATCTGCTCTGCACATGGACTGGGAGAGGGAAAGAGGACCAAATCTCCCTGACACAGACAATCATTTGCTTTATTAAACAAGTGTCTTATATTACACACAGAGTAGTGCACTATTTGGATGCACAAGAAAAAATTATGAAAAGTAGATACTGAGCATACTGAGCACTTTGGGTTTTGAAACATTAACATCACAGCTGTTTCTAATAATTTTTCTCTAACTGCAAGCTTATTTCCACAACATGTACTAACGTAACCGTAACTGCCCCAAAATGTTTTTCATTTTTTCAAATGAAGTCTTCTTAGAAATAACTATGCAACTGAAAGCCCATAGCCATCTTAGCTCACTACCCCCATATACAGGTTATTTTGTATTCATTTTTTCCTCTGCTATATGATTCAAGATGGGACAGTTTGCAACAGTTGACCTACTTACAAACTTGTGAAATGTGCCTTTCTAAACAACAAAACAAACAGCAACAAAAAACCCAAGAGAACCTCACTAATGAGAAAAGTCAAGAAAGTTCATCAGTAGCGTGCCCTGCAGTTATAAATGGAAATGACAACGAGAAGCTCATTCCTCGCCCACTATCTGTAGCACTGATAATGGTAACAGGTCACGGGAATTGGCCTGGCAACTACGCGCTAGCAGGCCCAGGGCCTAGGGAAATTTAAGTCCTTTTTTGTTTGAGGGTTAACCTGAACTCAGGTGCAAAGAAAATGTACATTAATACTCCTTTCAAGTTTCTCCTTCTATTTACCTTTTAATTCTCAACTGTTTCCCTCAATCCATACGGACGCTTACTTTTTTTAGATGGTTTTATAGTTTTGTGAAGAGTTAGTGGGACTTCCTTCTTTGATACTCTCCGCGGAGGTCTGACCATCAGAGGCCAATGTCTTCTCTGGGGTTGGTTTTCCTGCAAGACTCAGGGTCGCCTCCACTGCGTCCGCAGATCAGGACAACCTACAGGGCTTCCCTTTCTGCCTGAGTTCAGTCGGGGACGCTCAGCTCCTGCTCTGGCCAGAAGTTCCGGAGTCTCCTACGGCTGCTGCCCTCGGCGAGACGGTGGGGTCCGCGCAGAGCCGAGTACAGGGTGCCGAGAAGGCTGCTCCGCCCCAGGCCGAGCTCGGGACAGTGAGGCCGAAGGTCCCCAAGGGCGCCACGTGCCCCAGCCGGAAGCGTGGCGGGCTCTGCGCAACCTAAACGACCACGAGCCCCTTTCTTCCGGGAGGTCGCAGGCCGGGGGCTGAACTACCCCCGCCCTCCACCCTCCAATCTGGGAGGGCTGTGAACGGCCGCCCAGCGGAATAGTCGACAGTCTTTGCCAACCCTCCTCAGTCCTCTACCGGAATATATTATCCAGCCACCACCTGGCGGGCGAGCCAGCAAGGTTTATTATCCCCGTTGTAACGCTGAGGAGGTTAAGGCCGGGACACGGCCAGGGTCCCGAAACAGATGCGTGCGGAATCCCGTCAGGAGGGGAGCTCAGCCCGCCTCCCCATCGCCTAGAATCCTCAGAGCCGGGCGGTCCGCCGGCCAAGGCGCAGGCCGAGGCCCGAGGCCAGAGTGGATTCGGGTTTACGCCCTCGGGGGAGGAAGAGGTGGGCGGCTCGGCTACAGAGGTCAGGGGCCCGGGATTGCCGAGCCGAGCGCGAGAGGAGGCCTGCGCCGTGGAGTCCAGGAGCCACGAAGAGGCCCAGGTGCCCCGGGATGCGGCCGCCCGACCTCAGCAGCGGACGCGGTGGGCGCCCAACTCCCGTGCGCTAACTCCCGGAGAAACGGGGCCCGCGCAGCCCCGGAACTAGAGCTTCCTGCGGAGGGAGAGGGGGCGCTTAGGTTTTCACTCACTTTGTTCTTTAACCCATTTTTAAAAGGAGAGTCTTGATTCGAAGCGATAGAAGACAAAAATGGCCTCCTCCCCCCTCCTCCAGACACTGCCCGTCTCCCGCGGCCACTGGGACTGACGGCCCGCGGCGAATCCGCACGCACACGCACGCTCACGCATGCACACATGCGCACACGCCGCGCACGCTGTGTCCGGGCTCTGCGGTGCAGCTCAGGCTTCCCAGGCAGGGTGGGGCGAGGCCTGGGACGTCGTCAGCGTGGTTGTGCGGTCTCCTGGGTCTGGGGACGTCTCTGAGGGTTTTGATGATCCTTATTTTTAGTTCCCCTCGGAGGAGCTAGCGCCGCGCCAGGCGAGTGGTGCGCAGTGGCCGGGGCAGCGCGCCCTTCTCAACCAGCGAGCAGAGGCGCAGGCGCGGCGCGGCGCGGGCGCCGGCTCTAATCAATAACCCTCAGCGGGCTCTGAACTGCAGGGGGCTGAGAGGCCTTTCCGAGAGAGCCGACCCGGGAGATGATGTATTTATTCTTCGCACTTACTGTGCACTTAGCACCGAAAGGGCTGTTCTTTGCTCTTAGCAACAGAAACCCGCGGCTCGTCAGCCTTGACTCCCTGTGGCCGCTGAGCGCGAGTCCGCCCGGGGGCGCGGGATCTTAGGCTTGGTCTCTCCAACAGGTGGCGAGGGCCGGCGGCAACCGACCCGAACACCTTCCGCCCTGCCTGACCCATGTCTCCTGGGTGTCGCGGCCAGCCACCTCGCTCTGGAGAAGGGGGCGAGGACTCGGCGTGTGCACTGGGGAGTGAATATGCAGGCGGGCTCCGGACTCCAAGCAGTAACAGCGCTAACGCAGAGAGCTTTCCAGGCGCCTTCCTTGATTTTCCGTAAAATAGGTTTAATTAATAGCTGAGACGAATCTCCTTTTCAAGCGACTTGAGCAATCAAAGACGCTCCTCTGGGATCCAGAGAAAGTTGGGGGTTGTTACTCCCTGCTCAACCCCCCACCCCCGAGTTTGCCTTCCTAGTCCTCTTGACTTCACTCGCACACAACCCACTGGAGAAGTCTCAGTGATAAATTACGGAGTCGCTTAGGCGTGGCCATGCCTTTCTCCCCTAACATGTCCCTTCCTCGGATGACTCTGAACTCGGAGTGGAATCCGATTCCCTCTCGGATCCCCGTGGCCGAACCTCGCTCACTCAAGCTAGGCGAGCCCAGCGGCTGTTGGAAAAATCGCGGCTGCAGCGGGCGCGCGGCTTCAAGCGCGCTGCTTCCCGAAGCTGCCAGGATACTGATTTATGCTCCAGCCGCTCGCGAGAACCCCAACGCTTTGGCTGAGTTAATTTTTGTCAATTGTTCCTCATCACACTGAGATAGTTTGCAGCTTGAGGCGTGTTTTATTTATCACCTTGCACATTTGAAATACAGTCAGACATAAAAATAACTGACTCTGGGACTCTGGCGCAATATTGGAGCCGTCGGGGAATAATTTGGCTAACTGACTTGGACGTTTCAGCTTCTAAACAGAAATGCAACTCTCAGTCAAACTGTAAATCAGATTGTCTTTGCAAATGGGGGGGGGGGAAAAGCACGAAACCCAGGAGGGAACGGAAACAAAATTAAAGAAAACGCAGGTATTGACCAAAGCAAAACGAGCTTCAGACACCCAGACTGGATTTTAATTTTAGGCATGGAACCTCATCGAGAATGTGAATTCGTAAATGTTTTACCAGTCGGATCTGCCTTGGGGTTTCTAGGGTACCCTGGAAACTGGACTGATTTCTTTATTTCTTTTTACCGTTACTGCTGTTTTTGTTATTAAATAATATATGCTATCTTGGGGGGGGTCCTCTTGAAGAGCTCCAATTGTAAAAGTTAACGAGAACCGTCTGGGCAGGACAGGGTGGGAGCTCTGGAAACGACCTAAGACTTGGAGAAGGAAACCAGAAATTTCTTGGCACTTTCCATGTCCCCAAATTTCTGTGAATAAGCAGAAAAGAATCTGATAGTCTTTTCTGCGCCTCAGGCATTCTTCTCCTCCACCTGTCTGGAAGCCCCCAATAATGAAAGCTCGATATCTTACCGCGGCACATAGATCGAATGCTCTAAAGCCTGGGCAGGACTGGCCTTCAGTAAGGCAGCTGGAAAAGAGAAAACCCACTCAGGCGACCACTCAACAATTGATCACTTAGGGGAATTCAAAACGCAACCAAATAAAAGTTCTGCCAGGGTGGAGAGCATCTGCTATTATTTTGGCATTATTTCACACAACCCGCACCCCAGCAAGTAAATTTCATTCTAACACAGCAAAACGGAGATCAGGCAGGAGCGTTTCCCTAGCTTCCACAAGGGGAATCTGAAGACGGTTTTCTTGACGTGAACCCACAGCGACCCTAAATGTAGGCACCTGCCCCAGTCTTAGGGTATTAAACAAGTATATATTTGTTTAAACTTCTTTTTGACCAAGACCATTCACACAACATGCTTCTAACATTTCTCCAAATAAAATGGAACAGGAGACTGTGACTCTTAAGATCCACAAATTAAAATTAAATTTAAAGATACCAAAGGGGGCTTCAGGTAGAAAGTTGGAGGGATTATTTTCAAATAACTTTGAAGGTTTAAGAGAAGATATCTTGGTAGTTGATAGTGCTTGGTATCCATACCGAATATATAATATTAAATTATGACTTCAAAAAAACGTTTCAAAGGCATTAAATAAAATTAAATCTAATATTTTGATGGGGAAAAAGATCATCAAGTAGTTGGAAATTTTTCTCAAAAACAAATTATATTGGTGTGGTTTTGACATTTGTGTGATCCAATTCTTAATCTGGTGTTTTTTATATCAACCCCAAACTGGTTTTGCTCAGGTTGACATCTCTGCTTCTTCAGAGCTGGAACTCAGTAAATGCAGCATGCTCTGCTGACGGGCAACTCCTGTGTTGTGAGTAATCCTTTGCCAATAGATGGTCTGATGTCCTTTTCACTGTAACCAACTGGGAAATTAAAAGAAAAATGTTTGCCTCTCCACATATTTATTTTTATTTGTTGTTTTTTCTTTATTTCTAACACATCAAGACGAGTTCTTTCTCTTAGAATCCCAAGCCACAAATTTCTCCTAAAAACGTATATTTCAAAAATTAAATCTACAGGTGTAATACATACTGTGAACCCTATAAAATGCATTTACAATGCGGACTTAAAGAAAGAAATTTATAACTTTCATATGTACCTTCCTTTTGCAATAGGCAACTGCCATATGTTTCCGACTTCCATAATTCAGTTTTTCCTGGACATCTGTAGCAGGTAGTGAGTGCTTCTTAAAGTACATTTTATGTAATTTGAGAAGGAACCTGCACCAAAGAGTAAAAGTTAACAGGAAAAAGCACAAGTCTCTCTAGAAATGCTAGTTATTCAAAATTTACATCACCTATTGTGCTTGGCCTGGATAGCTTTTTTCCTCTCTTTCTTCTTGAGACTGAATTTGGAAATGCAGTGTTATATATGCTGAGAATTCTTTACAAGCAACATTTCCAAAATTTCTAAATGTTTTGGTAAAGATCCTCTTGTTATTACTGTTCTTTTGCTTGAAGATTCTAATTTGGCTCTTCCTGAACACCCAGGTTGGAAGTGTATTCCAGTAAGATTATTTTGTTTGAGAAAAATTTTAATATTTTTATATCAAAAACGGGGAAAACCTTAAACTCGTTCATTTTTCAGCTATCTTAATTGTTCATCTTACACTCGTTTAAGGATGGAGAAGTTTACACAATTAAAAGTGAAAACAAAGCAAAACCAAAAGTAATGTAGAAAAGTCAAAGCTTGTTCTCCAATTTTTTGCCCATGTGTTCAAATTCAGGGATCAGTTTTAATAGAATTTTTCAATAGCTCACTTCTTTTCGTGCAGTTCCAGTGCTAGCCTTAAATTAATCTGTTAAAAGTCTTTTCATTCAGCTGAAACTGAAATGCCTCATCTGTCAGTACAAAAATATGAATAAATTTCAGCCACATTCTTTATTGTTCGTACTTTCAGCAGATTATATAAAAGCCCACAGAATTTTCACTGTTTAATAACTGTGGGTATCTACAGATGTGAAATAGGAGAACAGGGCCCAATTTACAGCCAATTAGAGGGTGTAATAATTTGTATAAAAAGCTAAACATCCTACCTACTTATTGGAGCCTAAACAGGCAGTCAGTTCCCTTTTCAATTCATTTAATTAAACCAGCAAACTCAAGAAAATCTTTGTTTATGGGGAAAAATAGCATTAAATATTTAATTCAAAGAATATGAAGCTGCATATCTTAAATATCAATTTAAACATCATTTTATAAAGCATAAACTATTAAAATGCCCATTAACTATTTAGAGAATATTAATTTCCCCATTCATTGTCTCAGTTTGATTTATGTCCAAATTGACCTGTTGCAATTCAGCAATGTCCATCTACCCATCTTTGGGTATCCATTTACATCTAGGTGTTAATTTCATTACCTCCTTGAAGCCAGCTTGTATTTGGATCAGGCATTAGTGATAGAGACAAGTGTTTCCTTCTTGGACATTTCTGTTACTAACCCCTTACTGTAGTAGTGTCGTCAGAGGAGTGTAGGTCAATGAATGAGGAAGTGAAGGGGGCGGTTTTTCATGCACAGGGTGAAAAATAATTCGCATCATCTGGAGGTAGAGCAGATACTGCTGGAAATTGGACATGAGTGGCGAAGCTCATTCGTCCAGCCGAGTGAGTTTTCTTCCGGATACATTACAGGTTTATTACGTCCTCACAGCCCCTCGACTTGGTGGGTCAGGGGCCTCACTTCTCCCTTCCTTTACCTTTCCCTGGAGAACTGGAAGTGGAGGGAGGGAAGGAGTAATGACGACAAGCTTACCCTTAGAGTACACGCCTTTTGCTCTCTCCAAACAGCGCACCTCCCCTAAACCTCACCGAGAATTGAGCATTGATTGAAAAACCAGCACTAAAAGGAATCTCTCCGGACCCCAAACTGAGTTTGGGCGCTCGGGAGCCCCGAAGAGCACTTTGGTGGGCTGCGCGATTTCTTTGCTATCGAGACTCGGTCTCAGCTGATGAGAATACTTAAGAGACTTGTTGGAGGAGGAGAATGGTAAACAATCGCCAACATGTGGGACAGTGCTGTGTGTGTGTGTGTGTGTGTGTGTGCAAATCCACGACAGAAGCAAGCCGCGAGGAATCGCGGTTCGGGATCGCTTTCTCCACGGGGCCTGGGTTTGCAGCTGCAGCCGGAGACCAGGCAGGAAGGAAGCCCTCGAGAGCGCAGCGGTCCAGCCCCTGGCCGACTGAATTTACTCCCGTAAATTACTCTTTGTAAACTTATACAGGTTATAATTTATTGTTTTTATTAACCCAGATCAGAGGGAGAGGCGAGAAGAATAGCAGGGCAGATAACGAAGAGAGTGGAAGACGGTAAGGGAAGGAAGGGAGGAGAGAGGGAGCCCCAGCCAGCGAGTAAGGTGCTGCCTGGTGACTCGGCGGCTCTGACGTCCACGCCCCCAATTAGGATGTACCTTCTTCCCAAACTGTTACAAATTAAGGCAGCCAAATAAGTACCACCCTTGGTGCTAGGATTGGACCCTTGCTCACCCCCACTCTCCCGTCTATTTCTGTACTTCTCGCTAGGTTAATCTTCTAGCTAATAATAAAGTTTTTTTGTTTTTTTTTTTTTTTTTTTTAGCGCATGGGAAGGAAGTCCGGATCCCGCCTGTTCGGAAACTTGGGGACCACCTGAAGCAACTCCCATTCAAGGGCCAAGAACAGACTGTCTTGTGTGCCAGGGCTCACCTCCTGTGTCATGTCTTGAACGTGGGAAATTAATCGTAAGGGTTAGAAACTCTTATGGCCACCGTCAAGTGTAAAAGAAAAAAGAAGTCTATCTAGAGAATGAAATCCTAACGCATAGAATTTTTAAATTCAGAATTTAAAAATAAGTAACTGTTTATAAATACAAGTAGCTACATCAGGTAAGTGGAAATAGCAAGCTCTCTCCAAACATATATATGTTACACTATATATAGTGTGAACAGGCTCTAGGCTGAGAAAGCACAGCGGAAACCGACAGAATGCGTTTAAAAAAATCTTTTGGAACTGTCTAATTTAAAAATGCACAGAGAAAAATAAGGAAGAGGAACTGACTACGCTTTTCAACGCCCACCCCCCTCCCGCGATAGTTTTGCTAACTGGCTGGACACAGATTCCACTAGGTACCATTCGCAAGGCTCTTGTGTCCTTCCCTCTCTCCCCGCCCAAGTTCCTGAGAGAAGCCCACTCTGATAACGTTCTTCCCTGGATGACTTTTATTTGAAATAGAGCCGTGCTAGTCATGCCAGAGGCCTGACAGTTTAATTCAGTTTTAATCGTTTCTTTACCATAGCTCATACTGGGAACAGACATTTTCTCTCTTAAAGTGACGAGAGGCACACGCTCCCCGGTACACATGCCCACCCATGTTTCCACCCTCGCAGGTGCACACACGCGCATCCACGCACATACAGGCACGTGCACGGGCGCACCCTGTCGAGTTTTTCTCCCGCCAGTTTGCGCCCTGTCCCCGCTTCCTTTGCTCTCTTGACTGGCAAAGTGCAAGGCCCTGGCTCTACTCTGGCACGCGCGTGCCACGCTTTTGAGAAAACGCCCGATTAGTGTGGTGGCTTCGCCAGCGCTTCGAAGGCCGAGACTCCGCCAGCCTGCCAAACCCGCCTTCCTTCCCTCAGGCTCCTGGAGAAGCTCGGCTTCCCCTCTCGGGAGCGAAGGTCGGGGGTGAGCTGAGGTCTGCGACCTTCTGCTTCGTGGGGTCGGGGGCAGCTGGTCCCGCTGGGTCCCGGAGTCTGAGCCGGATTCCATGCGAGCCCAAGGTGGAGAGCGGCGGTGCGGCTCTGTCGCTGTGGTTCCCAAAGCCCAGCCTGGATTTGGACTAAGGAGACCAGAGTTGGTCCTGTCCCGGGCGCCCAGGGCACATCTGGATTATTTTTAAGGGCCACGTTCTATCTGACATAGTGGATGTGTGTGAGGCCCGGCTTTCCAGCTTGTCTGTGGGGCGCAAGTCCCCGGCGTCCCGAGGGCTGCGCCCCTCGCTGCCTGGGGTAAAGGAGAAAGAAGCGGCGTAGGGATATAGGAGGCCTTGGGGCCCTGCAGGCCCAGGTAGTCCCTTCTAAATCAGTTTTGAGCAGCGGGGCCTGTAAACGGACAAGAACCCGTCTACAAAGCAGGCTTCGCGTCTGGAAAACCGCGTTCGTCCCTGGCGGCCTGGGGTTTCTCCAGAGGAGCCGTTCCCCCGGAGTAGGCCTCAGGGCCCCGGCGACTCCACCCTTGGGCCTCAGCGCCTCCACCTCTCCAAGTCCGCAAGGGCAGCTCAGAGGAGCCTCGGGTCGCTCCTCCTTGGGGCACTGAAAGCCTGGGCGTGGAGCGGGGCGCTCGGTCCCCGCAGGCTGCGGTTGCTGGCTTCAGATGCCCCAGACGCGCGGAGCTCGGTGGGCAGCCTCCTGCCAGGTCTGCGGCCCTCCCTCCAGCGCATCCCTCCCCACTCCCTGCCCCAGCCCTACAGGCGGCCTCTTCGCTCTGCCGGGCTTGCGCCCGTCTTCGGGCAGGCTTCAGAAACCAGGTTTGCGCTTAACTTTTAAGGCTGTACTACACGCCTAGGTCGCCGCGGACTCTGGAGGTCCACCGAGGTCCGGACCGCTCCAGACCGTTCGCAAAGCCATTTCTTGCAAATGCAAAACACATCCTCCTAGTTGAGTCTGATTCTCAATCTTTTAAAAGAGGCCTCCTCTTCAGGTTGTTAGGGAGTCGTGTTTGACCCTGAGGCTGCTGGGCCCGCCGGGCGGCGCGTGCGGAGACGCCTCTGAGCACCGCCCGCTCTGGTTCCCGCTCTTCTGGTTTCCTTGGAGGAACTGCGAGTTCCCCCTGGAGCTACGGTAAAAAGATCGCAGTGGCGAAGCTACTGCCTGAATCACTGTACTGGAAACTAAGAGAGAAGTAAGAGATAATGGGGCAGCCAACAGTGTGGAGGTTAAACAGAGCGAGGGAGAGAAAACAAAAAACAAACAAAAAAACCCTCAATCCTTTGTCGTGTATTTTATACCAGAGATTTAATAGTAATATCCATGATGAGTTTTATTCTACAAAGAGACTTGCTCTATTTACATCACATCCATTATTTTTGTTAATCCAGAGCAAAAGTCGAGTTGAAACTACAAAACAAACTGTACAGATACATGTTAAGTGTTATTCAATTAAAAAGAGGTTTAAAAAAATTGTTTTAAAGAAACATGTTGGCTCTTTAAAAGCCTGAGAAAAGAAGTAGCTACCTGGCAAAAACAGGGCAAACATGAAGTTACGTTAAATCACAGAGACGTTTTCTAAAACTGCAATGGAAATTTTATTGCATCTTAAAACTTATTTCACTCTGCGAAGTGTTTAGGGGTCTTAAAGCTAAGTCCTTATCATTAAAGACATAAAAATTAAAATACCAGGTTTAAATTAGCGATCATTGTTCGAAAGAAATGGGAGACTCCGGAAAGAGCGTGCTTTTTCTGACTGGTTCATATAAAGGACTGAGCAATAATGGGGTAAAATTTTGCTCTCCTAAATATAAAGGATTTAAACGTATCTTGAATTCCCCCTCCCTCCCCAAGAAAAATCCACGGAGTAAAACAAATAAGTCTAGTGCCACGCCCGGCGCAGAGTGGGTGTTACTAAATGCAGAATGTGTCCAAGAGAAAAGACGGGCCTGGTGGATGTGAATTCTCCCCACTCCTCAAAATGTTCTGAGTTGTAGCAATATTAAGTGATAAGGGAATGGGACTGGAACTTAAGGTTTCTTGAAAAATTCTTGATATTCTAATGTGGTGATCATTTCGGTTTAAAGCCAGGAGCCTCAGCCTTTCCAGGTCCCGGTGGGGAAAGCTGGAGACTCCCGGACTGGACTGGCTGTGGGAGGCAGGGAGACTGACCCGGTTCAGGGCCCGGGCTGGCACTTCCAAGCCAGACGGCGGCGCTTTCCACTTTAGGTTTTTTGTGACCTTGTAAGGAAGTGGGCGCGGGCGGAGCGGAGTCGGCGCCTCCTGATTGGCTGGCCGTCTCGGTGATTGACAGGGCCCCGGACTCCGCCCCCGCCCCTTTATTGACACTAATGAGCAAGTTCTTCCCACCGCTCTCCTGCCTGGAAGTGCTGACAGATCAAGGCAACAAATTTCAATTACAATCCCTAATTTGTGTCCGCAGAGTGTTTTTTACCCATGTTAGTCCTCTCTGGCGCATCAGTCGAGGCAGATCTTGGAGCTGCTGGAAGAGGTGGAGGGGGTGGGAGCGAAAGAGTCCATCACTGAGAGAGCGCGCGAGAGACCGAGGGAAGGAAACTTGGCGGGCGCGTCGCTGGTTCCTGGGATCCCAACACAAGCGCGAGAGAGGAAACGCCAAATTTGTTTTTGCCCGGGCGGGGAAAAGGGCAGATCTGGGCCTGCGGGAGGCCCCGAGAGTCGTTCAGATTTTGGTAGGGGAAGGAGAGCGAGTGTGTGCGTGTGCCTGCGCTTGTGTATATGAGCGAGGGGCGGGCGCCGGGCGGCGGGGATGGCCGAGAAGCGGAGGGGCTCGCCGTGCAGCATGCTAAGCCTTAAGGCGCACGCCTTCTCCGTGGAGGCACTGATCGGCGCCGAGAAGCAGCAACAGCTTCAGAAGAAGAGGCGAAAGCTGGGCGCAGAGGAGGCGGCCGGGGCCTTAGATGACGGAGGCTGCAGCCGCGGCGGCGCCGCCGGAGAAAAGGGCTCCTCTGAGGGAGACGAAGGCACTGCGCTCTCGCCGCCGGCTGGGGCGGCATCCGGGCCCATCCGGAGCTGTGCAGACCTGGAGCGGAGCTGCGGTTCCCGCGGAGCCGCGGGTGAGTCAGCCCCTTCCCGCCTAACTTCTTCCTTAGACGTCCTCTCCCGGTCCCACGGGCCAGTACTGCCGCGGAGAACCTGAACTACTGCGAGTTGTGGGCGTGCGCGCGCGCGGTGTCCCTGTGCGCCCGGGGCAACCCAGCCATCAGAGCGCTAGCCTGGGTGTCAGGGCGCAAAGCTCGCGCTGCCCTGGACGCTCTCGCCGCGCAACTCGGGTCACCCTCCAGACAGTAAAATGCCCCTTTCAGCCTGGTTTCTCAGGCTGCTGCTGCCACCACCGCCCACTCACGCCGCGCCCTCAGCAGCTGCAGTTTGCGGCGCTCGGCGGTGCAGATCTGTGCTTTCCGCATCTGCCTCCCTTGGGCTTCCAGCCCCTGGGTGCTCTTTTTTCTTTCCTAACTTTTAAAAGCATGGGAGTGGGGGGAGCGACGGCATACCCACACCCCCCAAACCGAAACGAATGCCTAAACGGTTTGGGCAAACCAGGAAGAGGGCGGCATATTTGCAAACGTGGTTTCCCGAGGGGTAGCTGAGCGGTTCCCTTGCCTTCCTCTCTTGATTCCCGCTGCCGAGGCCGACGGCGATCGTGGGCTTGTTTTTCGTGCTCTTCTCTTCCCGCTGCTGCTTTGCTAAGAAGCTCCGGGCGGCCGGGGAGTTTGGCGAGAGCGGTGTTTGAAGAGCTTTCTAGAGGATGCCTCCGGCCGGGCCCGAAGCAAGGCGCCTCGGACGCCTATTACGAAGGGAGGCCCAAGCGCTTGGGACCAGGAGCCGGGGCGCCAGGCGCTTTTGCTCCGTGCTCTCCATGGCGTGGGGTGTGTCGGGGCCTGCACTGCGGATCTGGACTCGGGAACCCATCTCAGGCTCCGTTGGGCATGCATCCCAGACTCCGGATGCGGCACAAAACTTATTTTGGGGCCTTGACCGGGCGGAAGCAGGGAGGGTGCTTTGGACGCTGGCCGCACGCCTCTGCGGGACTTGAGACTTGGGGGCCGAGAGGGCCCTACTTGAAAGTCGAGTGTCCGTCCCTTTGGCTGGCGGAGCGCGTATTTACCCACCCATGGGCCTGTTTGTTTTAAGGGCCGGATGGCAAGAAAGCTTCCCCTTTCCTCGCGGTCCTTTTCCTCTCCCCAGCCGCCCTCGGGGGTTCATCTCCCCACCAGGTTTCCCATTTCGAGCCCTCACCGGTTACCCCTCTCTGCGCTTTGCTGCCCAGGCGGCTGTGAGGACGGCTTCCTGCAGGGCGCTTCCCCACTGGCATCCCCAGGAGACTCCCCGAAGGGGTCCCCGGTGCCCGCCCTGGCCCGGCCCGGGACCCCGCTGCCCTCGCCGCAGGCCCCGCGGGTGGATCTGCAGGGAGCTGAGCTCTGGAAGCGCTTTCACGAGATTGGCACGGAGATGATCATCACCAAGGCCGGCAGGTAAAGGGCACGCTGGCGCGAACGGCCCCGGCTCTGGCCTCACCCCACCTCTTGGTGGGTTGGGAAGAAGGACCTGCCAGAGCGGTGGGGTCTCTCGTTAACAGTTTCTGCAGACAAGGCCCCGGGTAGTGGTTCATTTTTGAGACTGGCTTTGCCTACCTAACCTGGAGTGCAGTCGGCCGGCGAGGGACACAGCCCGGCTGTCCTCTCGTTGGATGCTAAGGAGAAAATCGCTGTCGCCGCGGAGGCGGTAACGGTTACTGTTGATAATCCGCATGCAGGGTAGTTATAGATTCGTGATCATACTTCATATCTGTGCAGGCATTTATTTAGGCTTTAGTTATGTTTCTGAAATTAAGGAACAGATTATCCACCCCTCCCCCCGTTTTTAAAAAAACGCAGTTTTTTCTTTAGCAAACTATCGTTTGCTTTTTTAGATTCGAAACTTCCAGTTGGATCTTTATCAAAAGATTTGCTGGCAGTATGAGAACGTGATGTGTTATGCTATTTTGATATTAGATTAGGATGAAAATTAGTGGAATCACCAGTAATACATGCTTAATCCCTGCAAAAACAATTGCCCCGATTTTTAAAAACCATTCTTTTTATAGATTCACAGCTACGTGATTATTTTTTTTCTAAATGAAATCCAACAAATTAGCCTAAATTTGCTGAGGAATACCAAAAAAATTTGTAAGTTATATCTGTTTTTTTGAAAGTGTGAAATTTGCACATCCGTCAGTTAGTAAAATAAATTGATTTGTTGCACAAATCATGTTAATGTGAGGGAGGGACAGAAATATTTGCGTTTTAGAGTTTTCAGTTCATTTAGTGCAGTGAAATCGGTGAATACTATCTTCCTTAAAAGAAACTTTAAAAAGCACACACAACTCTTTCAGGGCACAAACACACATGGCAAAAACCTGGATAGCATAAAAGTATCCAAACTTATTAGAAATTACAAAAACATTTTATTGAATCCATATGCTACCTTCTACATTTTCACAGAGCTTTTTATTAATGATCCAAATTCAGTCTTCAACAACACAAAGCAACAGTTGTCTTATAAAGGATGTAGTTAAAGACCTTTACTCTATCTTACAGGTGCACTGAAATAACACTAAAACAGCCAGTGTATTAAACTGTTCTCATGCCTAGTTAGGAATAATGGACTTTCTTTTCTCTGGAAGTGGTCTTTAATGGCTTTATTGTTATAGGAAACATTTCTGGTAAATAACAGTACTAAAATTTGTGTTATAGGGTTAAATTAGCAAAAATTAGATTAACCGGAAGGGTCCTAGACATAAATCATTAGATGAAAGTTGTTGGGTTTTTTTTAAGAGAACTGCTTTATTTGTTTTTTTATATACAATAATTTGCTGCTGTATTCCTTGCTGCCGTGCCCTTTTTAAAAGATAGGTGTGTTTATTTTAGCATCTCCTTTTATATGCATCTCTGGGAAGCCAAGAGAAATGTGGATTTTCATTTATTTTAATTAGCAAATTTTGAGTAAGTGTGGTTAAATAAGAAAGTATTTTCAGGGTATGGTGGGGGAAGGAATGATTTGGCAAATATACATTGTGTTTAGTTTCTGCTTTCAATAAGGAAGTTTTACTATACCTTTCAAATTTAGAGCAACTTTTGCACTTCACCTTTACCATGCTGCAGACAGGAAGTCCTGTCTCAATAAAGAACATATTGTTTGGTTATGGCGTGGCACATTGGCTCCTTGTGCTTTTTTTTTTTTTTATAACCCTTTTAAAATTTCACATTATAATATATTTTATCACTTTTAGAAATTCAAAATTTCTATTTCTACCATTTGGAACACTTTATTATTTGTATTATTAAAGTTAATCTGCTTACCGAATTTTGTTTAAAAAATAAAGTGCTTTCTGTACCATTATTTCTTCAGTGTACAATTTTTTTTTTTTTGGCTTTTAGCTATACTGACATTTCAGTAAACATGGAATGCAAGTACAGGGACAAATTACATTTAAATGATTCAGTTTTGATACATCCTGTGTTCAGATTCTTTGAATTACATTACCAAAGTGAATGTTATAAGTTTTTCCATGTGAAAAATACAGATTCGAGAGTTTTCTTTGCTTATTCATTCTCCAAGTGTAATCATAAACAAAAACAGAACCCAAACCAACTTTCCTCCCCTCCCTTATACATAGGCGCATGTTTCCAGCAATGAGAGTGAAGATATCAGGATTAGATCCTCACCAGCAATATTACATTGCCATGGATATTGTGCCAGTGGACAACAAAAGATACAGGTACAGTGATCAGATGGATACAGAGGATAAGAAAACGCTGGGATTTTACAGGATACGCCTATTTAATCTGTGCTGATTATGATATTTGTTTCCAGAAGCCTGTAGAATTATCAGATCCATAATCCAAACCCTGTCACTTCCAGTAGTCTAGATGGTGCCTTCTCTTACAATAAATGTGAAAAAAAAATTTTGTTTTGCTTTTAGTAGATACAGAAATGTCTTTAAGTGCTGAGGAATTTTAATAAGGGGTCAGTTTAGTGTTGCTAAACTAAATGTGACTTTAATGTTGATTCACATTTTGATTAGGATTTTGAGACAAAATGTTGAGTCAAGTTTGTAGATATACATAACAGTTAACAAATTGTTTCATTTTCTTCGTGATTTTTTGGACATTTAAATAATTTCCCTTTATTGTGTTACACACAAAATCATAGGCTTCTTCACAGGCTTTTTTCCCTTTAATTTGAGAAAATTATTGAAGATATTTTACAATTTAGAAAAAAATTCTCAATTCATTACTATATTAAGACATCTTTAAGCTGGCAATGAATTTGTTACCTTACTGTTATTTTTTTGGCTGGTAGTTAACACAGTAATTTTTAAAAAGTTTTGTAGTGTTTGGATTTTGAGAGAATATATTTATCTAGATATCAAGTAAAGTTGGAAAAGATACTTTCTTCAGTATCAAACCAACCTTTGCTTTCCCTTCTGCAAGTAAGCAAATCAACAGTCGTCAATGGCAATTCTTTTTATTTTACTGAGGAGCTGAACTGATTCACTTTGTTATAAAGCAGAAACTAACACGCCATTGTAAAGCAATTATACTCCAATAAAGATGTTTAAAAAAAAATGCTAACATTTAAAAAAGGAAATTCTGAGTGGAAAATCGGAAGATGCTGCTTTAAATTTCTTTGTTTCTGTCTTTTAAATAAACAGCTAGAGCATTTAGTAAGTTTTTAAATGAAATCAGGTTTGGTTTTTATTACTCTTTAAAGTTGTATCCCTTATTTTAATTAAATAATTCATTAGGGAGCTTTGCTAAAATTATCTACTACATGATAGAAGCTAGAAGGCATTGAAGTTTATTCTTTAAGTTTACTTGGTTTAAAATCCATATTCTAATTTGGGTTTTGCCCTTAGGAAGACAATGTAATTCTAATGAGCTTAGAAATTATTCCTTTTTCTTCTAAGTTTGTCTTCTATTTCTTTCTCCAGATCTCTTCCATATATTTTGGATGGTTTATTTTACTTAACTGATCCTTATTATTCACACATAAAGCAAGAAAAATTTCAAGTATTAAGATGCCATATTATAAAAGATCAAATTATAAAACATAAATTTGCTTTCACTTATATTGCTTCTCAAGAAAAAAATTGTTTTTAGCATTTGTGTTGAGAATGTTTCACAAAGAATATGTAACATGTAGCATTTATTCTCTTAGTGGGTGTGGATTTTTGAACTATTCAATATGCATACTTTTTCAAGATTTTGACAGAGCATATCACTCTATTTAGTTTGGCAATAGCTCTATATTCATTGTGCTGCTTTTCTTGCATTTCTAAGATTTGCATTTTATTTTCCAACTTTTTCAACAATGGTAGAAACAAATATTTTTGGCGTATTCTCTGCTATCAAAGAATGGTATTTGGTGAAATGAAAAGTGATTGTGATTTATTAGAATGTAAAATTAATATTCACAAAAGGCCATGCACTTAGCTTATTTATTGAAATTGCACTATATCAATTAAGGGGAATTGTTTTTATTATTATTCTTTATTTTGTGATAATGTATTTTTTCCCAAGAAAAGGAATTAAAGAATAGAAGGCATATTGAACTCAAAAGAGAATGAAATGTGTGACCATATTGAAACAGTGAGCCTCACCAGAGATATTATGAAACTGTTTCATGCTATTTTAAAAAGAAATTTGCATATATACTGGTAGAATTCTCTGAGACTATTTGTAAATTGTTGCTTTAAATTGTATGCCATATTTTGAAACAAATGGAAGAAAACATCGAAGTATATAATTTCATTTTCTACCCTTTTCTAAGTCAATCATCCATATACTAGTTTCTATTTTTTGAATTAGTGTATTTTAAATTAACATTAATAAATGATGGTCTGAATATAAGATTAAACATTATTGTCTTATATACTACTTGAAACATTGTTATTTAAATGATTATTTTTATAGAGTCAATATAGTTGACATACACAAATAGAATAAGATGTTTTGTCTCTTAGTTAGAAAGGTAATGTTAATTAGATATATCATAATTTTTAAAGTTTGATGTGTATTTTAATTAGTGGTATAAAAAACTTAAAGAATTTTCTTACAATAGTCAAAACAAAGAGAAATATAGGAGATAAAGGCCTATGTTTTATGATTTTACAAACTTTTAAAATTAAACAGAATATCCTCAGTTTATAGTGTAATAGAGTTAGAAAAAATAATTATAAATGATAATAGATAGAACTTTTTTCCCTATGAAAATAAATTTACTGAAAGTTCTGACAATTTCCCCTTGCCTTTCTACCATCTATCTCATCAGTTTGAACATAAGCGTAAAATGGGAAGTGATAAAGAAAGTGGGACACTTTAAGGTATAACTCTCAAGTATTTTTGAGATTTCGTTAAAGGGGAGATTGAGAACTTAGTTTCTTCATGTCAATTGAACATCCAGATGAAAAATGGAAAACATCAGAATACAGACAGAATGTCTAATGTGTTTAAGTGTGATTCATCCAAATTAAAACACTTGCATTTATGGTGGGAATAGTGTGCATATTTTTCACTAAATCCTTAACATACCACTTTGAGTGGTCAGTAGGTTACCACTGCTTCAGAGAGTTTTTAAAAAGTGCTTGAATTCTTATTTTATATGCATTGAATGTAAAGAGCAAATCGTCAAATTTTAGACTTTTTAAAGGGTGCAGATTTTGTCTGAGTCTACTGAGTTGGAAATTCCAAGAAAGCAACAGTTCACAAACTGAGCCTTGTCATTGCCTTCTAGGTATGTTTACCACAGCTCTAAATGGATGGTGGCGGGCAACGCTGATTCCCCTGTGCCACCCCGGGTGTACATTCATCCAGACTCGCCTGCCTCAGGGGAGACTTGGATGAGACAAGTGATCAGTTTCGACAAGCTGAAGCTCACCAACAACGAACTGGATGACCAAGGCCATGTAAGTACATGGCCTCCCTAATTTGCCTCCATTGGATGGCGTGGGCTGTATCTGTACTGTTCCTGCCTGAAGGAAATGAACTTTTCTAAGATCATGAAATTCCTCTCCTGATTGACTAGCCTGTGCACAGTCTGCGCAAAATCTAGGTTATAGTTGCATCAGAGATTATGCCTGTGGCCGGAGTATTCTATGAAACATTTAATAGGGAAAACTAGATATTGCATTTGTATTGGAATGAAAGAACTTCAGGCAGCCATTTTTAGCCAAAACATTTGTTTGAAATCCCGTGAGGTGCCAATTATTATACTCTGAATATGAATTCTTGGCACTTGGGTGATAATGATTTATTGTGTCCTGCCTGCATCCAGTTCTTTCTCCAGTGAAGCTCATGCTTCTCAATAACAGCCCAGGCTTATGCTGTTTGTGTGTTCCACCTGCAAGCTCCCAATTGTTTTGTAATGACATCTAAGGTGTCAAATACTTTGTAATAATTCCTTTTCGTCTTAAAACTGCTGAAAAATGATATATATGCTAAAGCCAGCCATTTCAATAATATAGTCATTTTTAACACCTTGTTAATTTTTACACAGTATTGTTCCTAGGCAAGACTACCCTTATTATTTTAATAAATAAGTAACTCTGGATACATGCTGATTTCCACTCAATGCTAGCATTTCTATTAGGTTTCTGTTATTTGAGAGGGTTTTGACTGAAGCAGGATTGAAATGCCTTTTTAAGAGCATATATGGTACGTAAAAGGTATACCAACTAGTTCATTTCTCAAAGGGGTGACATGAAGATAGCATATTTATGGGCCAATCTTTTCAAACAAAAATGCAAACTGTCATAAGCTAGTAATACAGCGATGACAGGATGTGATTTGTAAGTTGCTAGATAATATCTTAAGCAAATTGACCTTAATGAAGACATTCGAGTACAAATTTCATTGTGGTACAGATGCAGCATCTGGAGTTTTAAGACTCATCTCTCTCAAACTGCCAGTACTTTTGTTTATTTGTTGCCTTTCATATTCTAAACCAGAATCAGAAAAGTAACAGTGTACAGTTTATTTCTGAATCCCACTTCATGCCCTGTACTTTAGTGCATTACTTTGCTTCTCTTCTTTTTTTTCTGTATATACACAGTCAGGTTGTAACAGTTATTTTTCATTTGATTTCAATGAAAGAACACTAGTTTCTTCTGTCTCATTGAGGGAGCCAACTGTGAAATTTTGCCAGTGCATCCACTGAGGAGTCTTTAATTTTTTTTACAGTAAAAATTTTAAAAATAAATGGCACTGTTACCTGTTTTCAAAGCTTAAACATACCCTGCTTTTCTGAGTTCTATAGTTTGAGAATATATCTTTTAAAGAGATAGGTGGGTCTAAAAGCTATACACTGTCATATATAAGGGACAAACTGCTTTAAATAATTTAAATAAATATAGTCATTCTATAATTCAAATTCTTTCAGATCAAATTACTGGCTTTATATCTAATATCTACCATATCTACAAAATTAGATATAGATCTAGTAATTTATCCATCTGATTTTAACTTCATAATTTCACTAGACTTTATTTAAAAGAGCATTCTCTAGAGAAACAGAACCAACAGACTGTATAGATATAGTTATGGGTATATAGATAGATATAGATAGAAATAGAGATAGAGATAGAGGAGGGGTTTATTTTAGGGAACTGGCTCACACAATTGTGGTGGCTGGCAGGTGTGAAATTTGCAGGATGGCTGGGCAGGCTGAAGGCCCAGGGAAGAGCTAATGTTGCAGCTTGAGCCTGGAGGCAGTTTGGAAGCAGAATCTCGTCTTCCTCAGGGGACCTCCACGTTTTTTCTCTTAAGTCTTTCAACTGATTGGGTAAGGCCCACCCACATTATGGAGGGTATCTGCTTTACTCTACTGATTTAAATGTTAATCTCAACTGAAAAGTACCTTCACAACGACATCAAGACTGGTGTTTGGCCAAACATCTAGGTACCATGGTCTAGCCAAGTTGACACATAACGTTAATTATCACACAGCATTTGTTTTAAATACAAAAGAATAGATTGCAACTTGAGCCACAATTGTTTATACCTAAATAATTATAACATTTCACTCTTAAAAAAAATAAAAACATAGCAGAAAACAGACACAATCCATAGAAGTGTGTCATTTTCCAGTAAAATTCTTTTAAGGTTGTGACAGGATGTAATACTTTAAAAAAGGAAAGTAATTAGTGTGCGCAGGGAATAGGGAGAGAATAATATGTACCTGTGCATTTTGGAAGCGAGGAAATTGCTTTTGCAAATAGTAAAAATGTACATATTGCTTGATACTAGAGGAGAAGGTAGGAGGGAAAATGCTCTTTTCTGTTCTTTATTTAAAAACAAAGTTTTGAAGACTTTGTAAAATGTAGTAAGAGATAAGAAGCCATAGTCTCTGCCTTCAGTGATCTTCTAGCCTAGATGGGGGGAGAGGACAAGAACACAGGTGATCGTGATGTCAGTGCACAGCAGTGCAGCTGCCATATTGTTCCAGCCAGGAGACATTGGGAAGGCTCTGTGAAGAAGGTGTCTGTTGTGTTTCTTTGCTCGGTTTGGTGACCCTAAATAAGGCTAGATTAGAGATTAGGAAGTCATTTCTTATTCTATTGCTGATGTGATTCAGCGTCTGAGAAGACAGCAGTACCATTGTGATGGGACTAACTCAGCAGTCCCTTTCCTGATGCAGAGACCTCTCAGGGACTCTCACCTCTCTGCCCTCATACAGTTGAGCCTCCCCACACCCCAATTCTAAAGGAAGTGACACTAATCTCTAACCAATCAAGCTGTAGATTCAAATGCGAGGTAATTTTCTAATTTGCTTTCTAAATTAGTTTCCTACTTTTTGTCCTCTCAGTTCCCAGTTTTATTCTGCTAAAGGTGTACAAGTGTTCAACATGGTGACTTGAGAACTCCATGTAGACCTGGGACTTTTATTAAACACAGAGAGATTGGAGGAAACAAATTGTCACGGGCTGTGAGTGGACCTAGGGCTGCACAAAACATGAGATTATGTGCCATTGTGATTTTCCCCAAAGTGATTTTTCATCTTTCCAAACACCAAGAATTGTTTAGAGAGGAATACTGGTGAGAATTTAGAGATGTAGAAACGTCCCACCACTCCACAGCTAATCTGTTTTTTTTTTTTCTGTTTAGCGTGTCAACTTTTTATTAAAGTTAAGAAAAATTAATCTTATAATTTTTAGGACTACACATGTATGTCTTATTTTTTAACGTCTTTATTGGAGTATAATTGCATTACAATCTGTTAGTTTCTGCTTTATGACAAAGTAAATCAGCTATTCATATACATATCTCCCCATATCTCCTCCCTCTTGCATCTCCCTCCCACCCTCCCTATCCCACCCCTCTAGGTGGTCACAAAGCACCGAGCTGGTCTCCCTGTGCTATGTGGCTGCTTCCCACTAGTTATCTATTTTACGTTTGGTAGTGTATATATGTCCATGCCACTCTCTCACTTCTTCCTAGCTTACCCTTCCCCTGCCCCGTGTCCTCAAGTCCATTCTCTAGTAGGTCTGCGTCTTTATTCCTGTCCTGCCCCTAGGTTCTTCAGACCTTTTTTTTTTTTTTTATATTCCATATATATGTGTTAACATACGGTATTTGTTTTTCTCTTTCTGACTTACTTCAATCTCCACAGCTAATCTTGAATGTTGTGAACACTTTATAATCCCTACTTGCCCTTTGGGGAGACCGTAGTCAGCTTTGTCTTGGATTGTATACAAACCAAGACTGGTCCTTGGATTACCTGGGAGCAGATGGTCAGCATGCTTGGGTGGGGTATTTCCTTCTCATCATGTGCATGTTTCACTTGGAATTTGCTGTCTGGAGGGAAACATTCAGGTGAACATTTCCCTGCAGAATTAGATAATTCTATATCTAAGGTAATTCTATATCTAAGGTGATGGTGCACCTTTAACCAGGGCAGGACTTGTACCCACAGTGCTGGTGTACTTTGGAAGGAAGCACAGTCAGGCATCTACAGCCAGGAAACTTGTCGGAGGGTCTGTTCTTCCAGCTGCTGTGGATTCACTGATACAGTCACCCTAGCTCTGAGTTTGTCCTCACCCTCTTCCCATTTCTGCTCGAGAATCAGATGGGGAAGCAAGAAGTCACAGGGGAGATTGCTAGATCTCCCTGATGGAAGGAACTTGCCATGGCTTAGAGGCCTAAGGTTCATAAGCAAAAAACTTTGACTCTCTGGGCCTTGGTTCTCTCATGGGTTATATTGGAACTAGAGAATTTTGAGTGACTCAAATGAGCTGATGAATTTGAAAGTCCATATTTGTAAGGGGTGCTTCATACACAGCGTCACACTTGAAACAAAACCCAGGCCACTTTGCTATGGAGCTTGCGACCCTGTGTAACTACCCTGACCCCTACCATTGAAAGCAAGTCTGCAACTGGTATCACCAAAAATGCAGGGAGCCAGGCTTTTGTTATCTGCTCCTTCTTGGTCCTTTGCTTGACTTGTTCCAACACTGGCATATAGGTCATGTAGAAAACTTCCAGAGTCAGCAGGTAGTGTTTCCCTATTGAGCTGTTTTGTAAGGGACAGGTGGTGTATCTGTCAAACTACAGGCACTTTACGCCCATCAGATCAGAAATACGTAACATCGTGCTTCTTTTGTCTCAAACCTAGTACCTTTAATGTGGGAAAAAACTGTATTAACCTTCACATGGGAAAGCACCCCGTGTTTATGGACAGAGGTCCATGTGACTATCTATGCTACTAGGTAATGCCCCAAAGAAAAAACATCCTCCATGTGAACAGAACAGAGAGCACGGAACATGCAGATCAAATATAATTATTTGAGTTTCAGAAATGGGCATTATCATTGTGGTCTCCTTGTTTATAAGGCCAGTGGTTCTCCTTATTCTACTTGTTCTATTAAATAAGCAAAATATTCTTGATGAATGGATAAAGAAGATGTGGCACACATATACAATGGAATATTACTCAGCCATAAAAAGAAACAAAATTGAGTGATTTGTAGTGAGGTGGATGGACCTGGAGTCTGTCATACAGAGTGAAGTAAGTCAGAAAGAGAAAAACAAATACCGTATGCTAACGCATATATATGGAGTCTAAGAATAAAAAAAAGGTCATGAAGATCCTAGGGGTAAGACAGGAATAAAGACACAGACCTACTAGAGCATGGACTTGAGGATATGGGGAGGGGGAAGGGTAAGCTCTGACAAAGCGAGAGAGAGGCATGGACATATATACACTACCAAACATAAAATAGATAGCTAGTGGGAAGTAGCCGCATAACACAGGGAGATCAGCTAGGTGGTTTGTGACCACCTAGAGGGGTGGGACAGGG